CTTACGACTAGCCAAACCCAGGGGTTCTTTCTATCCCTTGATGCCGAAAAGGCATTTGGTAGGGTTGCATGGCCCTATATGCAAGAGGTCCTTCGGGCGGTCGGATTGCTTCCCAGGATGATGGCCAATATATTGGCATTGTACTCCAATCCGACTGCTCGAGTCCGAGCTAACGGTCATTTGTCAGAGGCCTTTTCTATAACCAATGGCACTCGACAAGGTTGCCCTATCCCCCCTTTAATTTTTGTTTTAACGCTGGAACACTTTTTGTATATAATTCAATCGCATATGGACATAAAGGGCCTTTCAGTAGGAGGTAGGGAATACAAGGTGGCTGCACTTGCTGACGATCTCATGTTGTTCTTACAGGTGCCTTAACTTTCTTTGCCTGTTTTGCTTTGCGAACTAGACCATTTCTGTCACAAACGCACGCATCCGAGATGGACGTGGTTCAACCATTTTGGTTTCAGACTCCATCTTGCTAAGGGTATCCATTTCTCCCTCATCCTTCTCCTTCCCTCCTTCCTTCCTGAGAGGCACAGTGACAGATGTGTGTGTGTTAAAAGTGTCACAGGCCAGATCCCAGCAGGGAGCCACGTGGTGCACCACTGTCCAAAGATCCTGTGTATTTTCACACCTCGTAAAACAGATAAGGAGCCTTCCCAGAAGTTGAAAGAAATGCTGACCTGATGAGCCTAACCCAGTTGAGGTGACAGAATCAGATAAACTCTGCTAAACTCCATTTTTCCACTATGTCTCATATCTTGGAATATGAGAGACCTACATAAAAACCATACCCCTCGTCAGATGGCCAATGAGCAGACAAACAGTTTGATGGGTCATTCTAATTGTCTTGGACCATCAGGGGAGCCGAAACATAGAACTCGCGAACCATGCCACATATAATTTCATAATTCATATCTAAATAATCCTCAGGATTATCTGCATAATAAAATACCTGCGGGTGGACTGTAGCTTGTGCAGCTGGGAAGTTATGAACCAGAATATGAATTATGAACGATGTGGGCTCCAGTTTAGGGTTTCGCCCGAGGATCCCTCCCTGCACAAGGGATTGGTTTGTTACTTCAGAACCACCCCCTGCCGGGAAACTTTAAAACCAGCTGTCAAGCCTAAGAGAGGGGAATTAAAGACATCTCCCATTTTTCCATCGTAACAGCGGGAGATCAAAGCATCATTCTGCTCTAAAAAACTTGGATCTGCTTACATCAAAGGCTTAAAATGCAAGTAACTTAACCCTTTAACTTCTCCCTGTTATCTCTTTGCTGTGCTGTTATATATATATATATATATATATATATATATATCTTAGTTACATCTTCTCTGTAAATATTTTTATTGCACCTGTTTGACCCTTTTAGTAATAAATCTTCCTTTCTGAAAGTGTTGAACTGTTTCTATAGCCCTTAATTGCAATTTACGAATTCCTGCCTTTTGAAGAGACGCTACTGTTGGTTTAAACATCTGTATAACCAGCCTGCGGTCCGTTTTATACAGACGATTATTTCAATCATTATAGTGTTATAACTGATAACGCTCTTTCTCTATACAAAAAGGAGGTGGTGGCAGTGTAAAAGGGGTTAATTGCGTAATTAACCTGACCCAGTAACAATTGCTCAGGTCGCAGGTACATAGATTGTAGTCTGGAAAATCTTTGTGCTGGGTGTGATATTGTTATGCACATCACATTGCGGTTTGGATCGGCCAGTCCTTCGGTCACAATTTTGGTGAGAAGGTCTGGGGTCTGATGCCGCGATCGTGACAATTTCTATACCCTTTCCAATTTGAAGATCAACTTTTACAAATCCTACGCTCTGAATGTCTCCTTGCTGCAGTCGGTTGTGGCTCAATATATGGATCACTTCCTGTTTCATTGGCAAGACCGCGCTATTACCTATCTTGGTATACTGATTCCAGCTTCCTTGGCTGACTTTTATGATAGAAATTTTAAACAGCTTCTTACTACAAGTCAATGTGACCTCCAGCGGTGGGCCAGTCTTAATGTCTCTTGGTTTGGGAGGGCGGCGCTAGTTAAAATGAACATACTTCCTAGACTGCTATATTTGATGCAACCATTCCTATCGCTCTTCCAAAGTTCTTCTTTAAAATGTATAAAACGGCATGCTTACAATTTTTATGGAAGAACTCGACGCCCCATATTAATTACTCCCAGCTCACCCTCCCAAAATTGCAAGGGGGTATCGGACTCCCGGACCTCCATAGATATTACTTGGCCTGCCAATTAGTTTGTGTTTTTGTTCGTTCGTGTTGTAGACAGGTATATCCATGCTGCGAGGAAAGCATGGGTGGATCTGGAGAAGGACTTGTCACTTAAAAATTTGCAAGAGGCATGTAAATCCCCACTTTTTCCATCTAGTTCTGGTCCTTTAACACCCCTCCGACACAATATGGATTTTCCACCTGGGCTCTCAGGCACGTTCCTAAATTTTGAGTGGCCTCACAGAGATATTTTGAGCTGTCATTTTTTTCTTTGGGGGAAATTTGTCTTGCTTACACATCTTGATCCATCTCCCCTACTAAGACCTTCTCGTCCTGGACCTATAGACAAATTAAGCATTTCCTACAACCTGCCACCGCTATACAACCGTGGTCTAGATCCCTAACGTCTTTTGAATCCTTGTGTGCTCGAAAGATCTCAATCTCATTTGATTTCGACAATATACTCCATGTTACTGGCTTTTCTTTGGAGGTATCAGATAAGGCAAGAGGGGCTTGGGAAAAGGAGCTTCAACGCCTATTTTTGGATGATGTCTGGGAAAAGCTTACTGAGTCTGTGAACAAGGGATCCCTTAACGTAGCGGTTCAGGAAAATGCCTACAAAGTTAGAACATGATGGTATAGGACTCCGCTCTTGCATAAATGCTACCCCTTAGTATCTAACCTGTGTTGGAGATGTGGCTGACAGGAGGGATCTATGTTTCATATATATGGTGGAGTTGTAACCTTCTGACACCTTTTTGGTCTGCTGTACATAACCAAACAAATAAGGTTTTATTTGACAAATTACTGCGTTATCCTTGAATTTCACTCCATCTCAATATCTATTGCATTACTCTATCCTCCCTCGAAGGACATATTTCAAGTCCCTAGCCTTGCACATGGTGAATACGGCTAGAATCTGTATACCGTTCCACTGGCACTCACAGACTGCCCCAACGATTAGAGAGTGGTTTATGAGAATTATTAAAACTGAGGAAATGGAAAAGCTTATTTATGTTTTAAATGAAAACATGCAGAAATTTCACACAGTTTGGTCTGATTGGATTTGCTTTAAGTTCACTGTGTATTATCTGAGAAATGTTTGAATGATTTTACTGGATGACCTTCCTTTGGGTATTTAAAGATGCCCCCTTCGGTTTTCCCCCAGACATTGTCAGTGGGGGGGGGTTGAAATTCTTGGAATTTCTGAGGTGATAGGTCATGTGCTTGTGTGGGAGGCAGACCAATTGTTTGCTATTCGCTCATCTCTTGGGTTTTTTTTTTCTCTTACTTCTCAGCAGTCCAGTTATGATTGTAAATCTGGTGTACTACAGCTGAGGATGGAATTCTATTATTGATTGTTCTTTATACTCAGTAGGTTGATAGAACTATTCTTCCGACAGAATATGGCTTGCATACTCCTATTCCTCTGTAGACACTTGATGTTGGATTGAGTTGTATTTTGCTGTAAACTGACTGTATATGACTGTTCTACACATTTTCTTTCTTTCTGATGTAATAGTCTCATTTAAAAATGATTCTGCAATGCTAGTCTTGTTGATATAATCTGTTTTCAATAAAAGACTTTATGGAAAGAAACCCCCAAAAGTTGCCCAATATAGGATATCAACTTAATCTCCAAACTTTCTGGACTGATGGGTGGCTAACAAAGTACAACACTCTGCTACTATATGCTGTACTATTCACTGAAATGCTGCTCCAAGCAGATCTCCAAAATACAGCTTTCCCAGTACTGTGCAGCCTCTTTAAAATCTTTCCAGTCCTGTACTGCACCTCTACGAACGCATAACCCAGACTTCATTGACTTTAAAACAAGGCTTTTCTGCATCCAGCCTGTAGAGTAACCTTGCACTGAAATATATGGTTTGGGCAATGCATAAAAAGGGGGTTTGCTTTAACTGAATATGTACCTTGCAGAGTGTACCTCAATTTGGCAACAATCATTAACAACTTGAAGACGAAAATTGTAGAGAATACACTTAAAAACTTCACCAAACCTTTAGGACTCTTCCATTCAGCTCCTCCCTCTTTGCCAACGCTTTCCCGATGCTATTATCAGAAATAACCAGTTGTCACAATAACAGCCAGGAATTGCTATTTCATACAAAATGCAGGTGCTCCTGAGTAAAATGTCACTTGCACATTGTCTGTAAGTGCCATTAGGTAAATACAATTTAACTATGTATTATTAAGTAAATACAATGTAACAATGTATTGTATTTACTTTTTCATTCATATGTACCTATAGGTGTGACCTTTGATCTGAATATTACCTTAGGTAAAGCAACTTTACAAGTAAAAAAAATGTTTCTTAAAAGAGAAGTATGGCCAAAGCATTTGGCTAAATTTCCCTTAAGAGTCACAAGAGTACATTTACTTTTGTTCCCCTGATAGTGGGTTATTTACCGGTCTGCCTGATTGACAGCTGGCTCCACCTTTCAGTGCTTGGCTGAGAGCATGTGTAGGAGACATGTTTCACCACGTATGTTTTTTGTCTATAGATTACATAGAAAATGAAATAATTGTTAAAAAAACATTGCCATCACAAAGCTTAGTTGGTCCACCAAAACACAATGCATTTATTACTTGGTTATCTAAAGTAATGACAAAGTTCTTGCCAAATAAGTTTGCCCATAGTGGAAAGTCCATAAGGGGTATAAAGATACAGGGGTTGAAGTATTTAAGGAATGCTATGCACCGGTACTCCACTGATATGATGTTAATGTATTTTACTGTTTAAGCCTCAACAGAAATTGAATGTGGAAAGCCAAAAAAAAAACAAAGAAAGTGTTATGGAAGAATAGTAGGTGGATGTGAATCGTATCCATATTCTTGGCCTTGGCAGATTAGTCTTCGAACAAGGTAAATGTTGCCCTGTTTTTGTCATTTCAAGAAAATTGCTTACAGAACTTTTTAACTGTAAAATTCATGCAAATACTTCCAGGTTACTGGAAGATAATAACTTTCCTTGGCTAAAGTTGGGTATACACTAGTAGATTTTTTAACAAACGTTCATATGAAGGTTTTTAAAAATGTCATTTGCTTTAACATTCTATTTTGGAAAGAATAGGCTTTACCAAGCAACAACCACTTACACTGTTAATAATTATTAGATCAAGACAAATTTACCCTTCTGCTTCTTCAAATTTTCTTGTCACTATGGTCAAAAACAAATGTCGATTTGAACCCACTAATGATTGGAAGATCAAATGAATGTTCTTAAAACTTGAAGCTAAGCTAAATGAAATACTACTAGTGTATAGCCAGCCTAAATGTGTCAATTGTTGTCAAATTGATAGGGTATAGATATTAAAATATGTGGAAGATGGTGACAAGGGCTCCCACCTCTGTTCAAATATGGTTGTTCAAATCTTAAAGTAAATGCCTCTTTACCTCTTGTGAACCAGTTGTTTTATTGGGGTTATGTAACTAAGACAGATAAGCACCACAACTTTCACATCTCCCATCCTGCTTGTGGACAATCAATATCTACACTGCCTACTGATTGAGTTAGGGCACACTAGAATGTGAATATAAATGCTGGGGCATCTTCCTGACACTCTAGGCTCTGGAGAAGTTTTTTGTAAGTGATGAAACATCTTCACCATTACAGAACTATTGCATTTGAATTTGACTACTACTAGATGTACCTGATATTGTTAAAAACTGTCAAGGGTTAAATACATTTTAGGACTTTCCAGGGTGGTACCCCCTAGAAAATTGCTGAGAGGAATGATGAATATAGGGGTGGATTCAAAGCAAATTGACTGCTCACTTTTAAAAAGACATAGCATTTTGCAAGGGAATTTGACCCAGGGCTTAGCAAATCAAGCTTTTAGTATATCAACCATATAGTGTCAACATAATTTAATTTTGTTCATTTTATCATTCTATAGGCCTGTATACATATTGTGTATTATGTTGGCTAACCATTCATTGCATAGCAATCCAAAATACATGTCTAGTAAAATGTCAGTTGTGCAAGTATAACTTGCCTAACTATATATATATATATATATACATACTGTATATATACATAATTATTTGCATGTAGCCCTAAATTTTTCTTCAGTTAGCTTCAGTACAACAAACAATACCCTGTGTTTAACAATGATTTCACACTTGGTTCTGACTCCTTTGTCTACTCCCTCACATGCCTTTCTATAAGAATTGGTGTTCACTGAAATGTTTCTCTATTTTACAGCTTTCACCTGCACTTCTGTGGTGGAACTTTGATTGACCGTGAATGGGTTGTCACAGCGAAACATTGCTTAGAGCGGTATGGATAATATTTAATTACTAAAGTGACATTCAACCCACGTGTGCATGCTTTACTATATACAATTGTAGTGATGTGATAATTTCTTTGCCCATTTTCCAGTGTATACTTCTATTATGCAGTGTTTGTTTTGCCCTTTTCCAATATTGCTGCTATGCTCTCTGGGCACTGAGGATGAGGTCATCAGAGAGAGACTTGTGAAAAAGAGGGAAGTGTGGTTTCTCTGGAGAGAGAACTCAGACTGTAAGTGTTGCAGCCTCCCCTCACTGAGACATGCAGAAAAGACTGTTAATGCTTTAATGTTCCTGTTTGGAAGATGCTTTATGTTGGATGGTTCACTGAATGTTATTTCTTCAATACATAGACTTTCATATACACTGCTGTGTGGATTACTGTCTGTGGATGATACATTTCTCAGTTGGGATTTCACTTGTTATCCACAAGCCCCAATTGAGTGGAGGTACTAGCGCTTGTTAGAGATCTTGTCCTGATCACACAGATTATAAGGATTCTGCTCTTAAATACTATACAGGTGGTGCCATCATACCCCAGTAGGTGCAAAGAGTGTACAAATAGCGCTACATTTGGAGGCACTGCTGGATCAATATATCTTGGATCAAGACATTACGGAAAGACCATGTCACTGTTATCAACAGAAGCTGTGAGGCAGTGGGCCCTAGAAGAGGGACTGCCACCTGAAAGGACATTTGCTATTTCATATGTGCATATCACTGTGAGTTCCCACAGACTGCAGGAGGCACTAAAAGCAAATGAAACCTTGCAATATGCCACTCTTGTGGATAAAAGAGAAGAAGATGAGAGTTGTGAACTGTATACCCATTATCTCTGTCTCAGTGAGGTGGATTTAAATCCAGTTAAAGGGCCCTTTTGCATAAATCCAAAGGGGGCTGAAGCAATTGGTTGTGCTGTAGTATTTCCAGTGATTTCACCTCCAGTGAGGCGAAAGTTATTAGCCCTGCCTGTAAAGTGTGAACCATTGAATACAACGGCTTCATCAGGAGAGACTGTAATGTTGCCTGCTACAGCCACTAAGCAGGAAACAAATATTGAGCATCTGCTGCTAAAAGTCACTGAAGTCATTGCTCAGAATTTACATGCTGATTCTTACCGCAAATTAAAGGCTTTTTCAGGAGTGCTACCTGTCCCTGCTGGTGCAGAAAGCTTTGAAGTGTGGAAAGATTTTGCACAACAAGTGATTTAGGAATGGACCTGCTCAGAGGAAAAGAAAAAACAGCGCATCATGGAAAGCTTAAAACCACCAGCATCCATTATTGTTAGAGCTTACAAGGACACACATGTGAGTACCATTGCTCAAGAATATATTGATATTTTGACAGATGTTTATGGACTGCACCGTGACCCGGATCAGATGCTTGCTGATTTTAAACAGACAAAGCATAAAGAGGGAGAGGATGTTTCTGTGTTTGTGAGGAGGCTAGAAGTGCTTCTAGGAAGATTGCTCACTGAAAAGGTCATCTCTCCTACAGATGTTGATAAATTAAGGACTGCTGAAATCATAAAGGGGTTAACTGCCGCATCACCCAATGTCAGCGGTCCTAAGAGCTGTTTTGAGAGAGAGAAACTTTACTTTTACTGAAACTATGAATGAAGTAAAGAAACAGGAGGCTGATATCCTTTTTAGTACCCCTTCTAAAAGCAAAGTTTATCAGAGTTCTTTGGGTGAGCACAAAAATTAGACTGTTGCTTAAAATAAAGAAGTTGGTAGACTTCCACAGCCTAGAGCTCTATCTGCTGATAAAACCTCCAGTGATAAGCCTCTTTTCCACATTAAATGTTTCTTGTGTGGACAAGCAGGCCACACAGTTCGTCAGTGTCCACTGCTTGCTGATAGTTCTGAAATTCACAGTAAAGCTGGACAAATGTATAAAAGAAAACAGGGAAAATCAAGAAAACAAATGTTCCCTAAACTGCTTGGAGTAGGCCGCAGATGTACTTTCAATTTGTTTGTTAATGATATACCCACTACTGCTCTGTTTGACACTGGCTCTCAGCTGACTATTATCTACACACCCTTCTATCAGCAATACTTAAGCCACCTCCCTTTGAAACCTATGGACACTATGTCTGTTTATGGTGTGGGTTGAATGGTTGTCTGGAAGTTGAGCTTCGCATTCCTGGTGTGACAGCTGATGAGGATCCCCCACTTAAAGTCACTGCCTATGTGAGCCCTCCACCCGGGGGTAGTGACTATGCTCCTATGATTGTGGGTTCCAATGTTGAAGCCATTCAGGCTGCTTTCATAAGGCTTCTTCAGCCACAACAGGGTACTCCTCTACCTTCACTGCCTGTTGCTCCAGAACTTCAAAATATCTGCCAAACTTTTGCTCCTGATCTTCCTGGAGGATGTGTGGGGAATCCATGGCATCCCATAGAACTTCCAGCTTGGGGAGTGAGAGTGTTGTGGGTTTATGTGGAAATTTCACTGGGTGCAAATGGTAGTTTTTTCCTGCTAGAGACTGATCCGAAAGAGGCTGCAAAGAATGGCTGGGAGATGGTACCAGAAAGGAAAGACTATCGTTTAAAATGTCCAAGAATGGATGTTGTTACTGTTTGGAATGTTACCACATACCCAGTTATAATACCAGCCTGGCAGGAGGTAGCCTATTGTTACCCAGTGGAAACCATTAGCTCTTACCCTGCCAAGCTCGAGGAGAAAGAAACCAAATTAGACTTTCACCTTAATGATGCTGATAGTCCTGCAGTGCACAAACAAGTACTAGAAGAGCAGCTAATGGAATACAATGATGTTTTCTCTACTGATGACATGGATGTCGGGTGTGCTAAAAGTATATAACACAGTATTCGCCTAACAGATAGCACCCCCTTTTACCCTCCCTAATGGTGCTAAACAAACCTGGAGCCGACATGTCGGAGCTATTGTACATGCCTATAATTGTACCAGACAAAGGCCTATCAAATGGCTGAGGTAAATGCTGCAAAAATAAATGCTGCCAATAAAAGACGCTTTTGATGCCAAAGTTCGTTACAAAGACTTGCAACCTGGTGATAAAGTGCTTCTTCGCAATTTGGGACCCTCAGCCAAGCATAAGTTAGCTGATCGCTGGAGAAATTAGTTGTTTGAAGTTATAGAAAAACTGCCTAGAATTCCAGTCTACCAGATTCGAGGACCTGAGGGTCAGATCAAAGCCTGGCATAGGAATCACTTGCTTCCAGTACCACAAGTTGCTACTGCGGATGAGGAACCACAACCTGATATTGCTACAGATTCTAATGATGTGCCTAGTGCAGACAGTGGAGAACAGTGTGATGACAATGACTGGTTTACACCTCCACCAGAGTCTCCTATACAGGCTCCTTCACCTATTACTAATGGGGGTCTTCCTCAGAGGGGAGGTCTGAACCCAACTACTCCTGCTTTTGAACCAACAGCCCAAACCTTTGTGCCTACAGTTCCAGGCATAATTGGAGCACCAAGTTTTCCCACTAGTGCAGTCCCAGATGTATCTGGACCAATGCCTGAGGGCTTGAGGAGAGGAGATTATGTTCGACGACCTCCACCACTGTTTACTTATGACACTTTGGGAAGACCCTGCTATGCTGTACAGAACTATGCTGTACAACCTCATGTTCTGATGGACATGATTACAGCCCATTCTAGACTGGTTACCATGATGCCTATTTGTTACTAACCATGTTTTCTTTGCAGCTAATCTCTGTAATAGATTGCTTCTGGAGACGTGGTCTGCAGAAGGCGACAATGATGTTAACTTGCTACATTTTGTTGTTGTTTTATGTGTATATCCTTGCCGGGTCGGAAGGATTTTCAGCAGGGGGAGAATATAGTGATGTGATAATTTCTTTGCCCATTTTCCAGGGTATACTTCTATTATGCAGTGTTTGTTTTGCCCTTTTCCAATATGGCTGCTATGCTCTCTGGGCACTGAGGATGAGGTCATCAGAGAGAGACTTGTGAAAAAGAGGGAAGTGTGGTTTCTCCTGAGAGAGAGAGAACTCAGACTGTAAGTGTTGCAGCCTCCCCTCACTGAGACATGCAGAAAAGACTGTTAATGCTTTAATGTTCCTGTTTTGAAGATACTTTATGTTTGATGGTTCACTGAATGTTATTTCTTCAATACATGGACTTTCATATACACGGCTGTGTGGATTACTGTCTTTGGATGATACATTTCTCAGTTGGGATTTCACTTGTTATCCACAAGTCCCAATTGAGTGGAGGCACTAGCGCTTGTTAGAGATCTTGTCCTGATCACACAGATTATAAGGATTCTGCTCTTAAATACTATACAGGTGGCACCATCATACCCCAGTAGCCACAAAGAGTGTACAAATAGTGCTACACAGTGAATATAAAACAAATAGACACACCTGTAAAAATGGGTTTTTGAGATATACAAAATCAGATAAAGATAAAGTCACTTCTGAATTTTTTGCCACCGTGACCTATAATCTGTGCAATACAATTAAAAATAAAAAATTACATTATTGTGGTTGCATAAATAGGCACACTCATAAACTAATAATCTGTTGAAGCACCATTTGATTTTATGTCAACATTTAGTCTTTTTGGGTAGGAGTCTATCACCATGGCACATCTTGCCTTAGGAATCTTTGCCTACTCTTCCTTGCAAATGCGCTCCAAATCAAATTGGATTCAGGTCCGGGCTCTGGTTGGGTCATTCCAAAATGTTGATCTTTTTCTGGTGCTTAAAGCATCAAAGGGATCTCATTGTTGGAATGTATCAGTAAGGATACACATGTAATATGTATATGTAATGTCCAAGTCATTACATATACCCCATAACATAGGGAAGATAAGATGGTCATCAACAATTAGAGAAAATATGACACAACAGTGACATTGCCAAGAACAGGACATTCCTCCAAAACTGCTTAAAAAAGAAAGAGAACCTAATCTGTGAGCCTGCCAAGAGGTCTATAGCAAAATTAAAGGAGCTGCAGGAATTTCTGACAAGTACTGGCTGTGGGGGATGAGTGGCAAGTTGGAAGCATTTTCTTGTTAAAAAAACATCCAAGCTTGGTCACATTTGCAGAAACCTACATTAAGTTTGCCAAAAGCATGTGGTAAAATGTGTTATGGTCTGATGAGACCAAGATTTCATTTTTTGCCTATAATTCCAAAAAGTGTGTTTGGTGCAAAACCAACACTGCACAACACTATATCCACAGTGGAGCATGGTGGTGGCAGCAGTATTTGTAGTAGCATAGTAGTATTTGTAGCAGTGGTTGTTTTTCTTCAGCTGGAACTTGAACTTTAGTAAAGGTGGAGGGAGTTATGAACAATTCCAAATATCAGTCAATTTTGGCATAAAACAATCTGTGCTCTGCTAAAAAGATGAAGAGGAATTTTAACTTTTAGCACAATGACCCAAAGTATAACTCCAAATTGGCAAAAGAATGGCTTCACCAGAAGATCACATTTTTAAAATGGCCCAACCAATGCCCGAATTTGAAACCAATTGATAATCTGTGGGGGACCTGAAGAAGGCTGTGCACAGGAGATGTTCTCGCAGTCTGATATAGTTTGCTTTCATAGATTTGTTTTACATAATGTTATTTACATATAAATCTCCTTTTTTTAAAAAAAATGTTGTGGCCATCAGAGCCATTCCCACCAATTCACATAGACTGCAATGATAAACAGCAGAGTAAGGATCAAATGCTCAAGATCCCTGAGCAATTGAAGACTATGCGAATGGGTGAATGGGGCTCTGGCGGTCACGTGATTGCTCTTGTACATAAATCCTGGCTTTTTTGTATGCCCAGGAGGCACAGGTGCAGTGTTCCACACTGCTGTCAGCAACTTGTCAAAATCTCTAAAAGTCTAAAATACATGTTGGCTGGACGCTGTACCTAGCGCTACTCAGGTCATATGCATTCACAAACGTGTAAATATTCTGCAATCTGGGCGTATGTTCATGAACGCATACAGCCCTAAACACACATATTATTCAATATAGCGTCCAGCCACTGCATATTTTTAGACGGCCATAGATTTTAACAGGCTGCTGGCAGCAGGGCTGTGTGCTGTATCTGTGTGTGCCAGGCACCTGAAAATGCCAGGAAATGACACACACAGGGATTAAAAGCCCAGTGTGCATGTAGCCTAAGAAGTATATAAATATTTTATTGTTCTATATTAGTCAACATAAACATGGCTTTTACTAGGCCTGTTTTTCAGCACCACACAACAGGTATGTTTTAATTTCTCTTTGATCTGAAATGGAGATCCATAATAAAATTGATGACAAAAAGCTAAGCAGGGCTACAACTTCACAGCAAGATACAGCAACTTGAAATCTTAGTTTTATTTTATAAAAGGGTGGGCATCTATATGGAGGATGAGGTTTACTGTTGAAAAACGTAAAATAATAAACTTAATGTGCTAAGAATATGCATGCATTTTACTTGCTAGGGGGAGAGTCTCTGGGGGAGGAAAGGATGGAAAAAGATCTGGGAGACCTGGTAGATTACAAACTCAGTAATAGCATGTAATGCCAAGCTGCAGCAAGCTAGGCCAGCAGAAATTTAGCCTGCATTATAAAGGGCATTACAATTTACCATTTTACAAAACTCTGGTTTGGTCACACCTTGAGTATGTGGTCCAGTTTTGGTCACCAAACCTCAGAAAGTTTGAACTAGAAAAAATCCAGCAAAGGTCAAAAAAGTTAAGGGAGCTGGAGGATCTCAGGTATGAGGAATGACTACAAACATTAAACTTATTCTCCCTTGAGAACAGATGCTTAAGAGGGAATATGACTGCAATATACAAATCTGTGAATGGTTACTGCAGCATTGGGAGGAAACTAGACATGCAGCCATACAATTAAGATGGACAAGAAGTGGTTCATTCTCAAATGTGTAAGGGGTTCTTTACTATTAGAGTGGTAAGAATGTGGATCTTCCTTCCACAGTTGGAAAATATATATAAAAATATATATGTTTCTTAGCTAGTGCAATGTACAAGGATAAGGAGAATAGTAGTGTCTCTCTCACACACACATGCACTCACTCAGGATGAAAGTGATGGGCTGGTGTCTTTATTCAACCTCACAAACTATGTGTTTATAAATGAATTACCTCTGAATATACCTATGTACACCGTCATATGCTCCATTGTAGAACTATTTATCTTTGCTTTAGTCACTCAAGCCAGGAAGCAAGCAAGTACTATCTTTGAATCTTCAAGCATCTATTACAAAGACCTAAAACCTTGGCCTAAAATGCCATCAGGGAATAAAATCCCACACATGTGCATTATTTGTGCATCTTATGGTATCATCACTGTGTGCAGGAGATGTGACTACCTATGTCATTCATGCACTCTGCACTGCCTCACACTGCAACATCTTTCAGATGTTGAGACTAGAACAGTTCACGATGCACACACACCATGGGGGGAGCCCGGTATAAGTTATGATTGCATTAAACATATGAGCCACATGATTTTAGGTGCCTGTTTTGTTTTCAGTAAGTCACAACTGAAATGGTTAGCATAGCCATTTTAAATTGCTACTAATTAAACTTGTGATGCTGCCTGAATGTCTGGAAAAAGTGCACCACAGGTTGTTCTCGAGGGACTGATTTGGAAAACACTATTTATTTATGCATATAGTGTTCTGTATACACAGATGAATGAATGATGCCACTAATAACAGAATTAATGATTAACAAGGTCATTATTTCAAATAAAGTACAACTTATATTCATTTCTGTATATCAGAATAATACATAGTTAACAAAGACTTTTGTCCACATTTTGCTATACAGTTCCAGCAAACCATCATATTACAAAATACATCTTGGAATCCATAAAGAAGTCAGCAATGAACCATCTAAGCAAGTCAGAGATGTTGAGAAGATATTCCTGGAACCATCAAATGCAGATATAGCACTATTGAAACTGAAAAGGTAATAAATTGTCTTACATTTTATTGGTTCATATAGGCATAAACTTATGCTGACCATCTCATTACATGGCTGACAAACTTGTAAGCGCTTTATAAATGTCTTTGCAGCACTATATCAATGAAATGAGTGCTTTCTGTGTTTGTTTACATTGATTTCCTCAGGAGCTCCATCTTCTGCTCATGCTCCAAAATCATGCTAGCAATTTAAACTATAACTCACCCTTAATGTTTTTGTTTGGTTTTGGAACAATTGGTGATGAATTAGAACATGCTTTTATTGCTGTCTGGAGAAACCTTTCCAGTGGCAAAGGAACTGGGGAGACTCACCATTGAAAATGCAAATACCTAAAAACCTGACAATGGTTCGAATTCAAAATAAAAAAAAAAAAAACAAACAATCAGCAAGGAGTATTAATTTTTTTACATGGGCATTTATTTATACGGCAGAGAATACAAACACAACACCAATTAGGTAGTCAACCATCTAAACAATTCTCACACAACTGATTCAATAATCTGTAGCCTAATGCCAGTATCAGTAACTAAGCAGCATTTTTATGGATTCTTAAAATGATATACTTACATAAGTAGTTGCAACAACATTCAGCATTAAAACACACTGTTAAAAAGTTTTGAATTGGCTGTAGCACTTAGTGTTACAGCTAAATTCACTTGGCTGAAGTCAGTAGAAACAGTATATCTTTGCACTGCTGCAAAATGTATTCAAAATATTTTATGAATTGGATACTTAGCAGCAGATGTATATCCAGGCCCTAGCAGTAATCCTGGTCTCCATGAGCTTCAATCATCAGCTGAACTTTAAGCATTAAGGAGACTCACTGCAAATTCTCAGCTTATTCTAAGCAGACTCTGCATCCCTGTTGTCCAATTTCATGCTACAATTTGTAGGTAAATAGCTTCATTATCTGTCCAGTCACCAACATGCTTGGCTTAGCATAGCTCAGTGTGTTGCCAGGCAATACATTTTATTCACCTTACTGTGAATTTCACCAGGTCTGGTGAGGTTCATACCCTGGTGAAGTTCAGATAAAACACACACTCAATGAAAAATCTACCTTACTAAAAGCATTCGTGTCCCCCTGGTTGATGTGAAAAGCAGAACCTACTTTAGACAAGGACTACCTGCAGGATAGGGCCACCAGTTCAGAAATGCACCTTGCAGAGGTGATGGCTCCAAGAAACACTACCTCGTGGGTGACTGTAGAGTGAGGAGTGTCTCTAATGTGTTCAAACCACAGTGTCCAAAGAGAATGCAATTTAGATCCAATTGAGTTACAGGAGAACGGCTAGGGGAGCTGAGAGACCCCTTTTTTAAAATTCTCAAAGAGAAAGAGACCAACAAAATAGAAGGGCAAAAACCTGACCCTTGACAGTGTGAGAGCCAGATCCTGGTCAAGACCCAGCTGTAGGAAGAAACTCCTGGGGTGGAAGCCAACAAAGGTAGTAAAAAGAAACAATAACCACTCCACACTAAATGAAAACTATATGTACAGTATGTAAACCCCTAATGAACCAAATGATAAAACCAACAACTAAAATCGCTATTGTACCTAATAACCCCAAAAAGTATAAAATAAATGAAAAGTCTATAATACCTCATATAATACAGCACAATAATATACAGTGTATTATATATATATATATATATATATATATAGATATATACACACACACACACACACACACACACACACACACACTATATTGCCAAAAGTATTGGGACACCCTCAAAATCATTGGATTTAGGTTTTCCAATCACCTCCATGGCCACACATATATAAAATTATAAAAACAAGCACCTAGGCATGATGACTGCTTCTACAAACATTTGTGAATGAATGTGTCGCTCTCAAGAACTCAGTGAATTCAAACATGGTACCGTCATAGTTTGGCACCTTTGCAATAAGTCCATCAGTGAAATTTCCTTGGTACTAAATATTCCAAGGTCAACTGTTATTGGTATTGTAATTAAGTAGAAGCAACTGGGAACAATAGCAACTCAGCCACAAAATGGTAGGCTGCCTAAAATGACAGATCGGGGTCAGCACATGCTGAAGCTCAGAGTGAGCCAACTGTCTGCAGAGTCAATAGTTAAAGACCTACAAACTTCATGCGGCATTCAGATTACCACAACAACAATGCATAGAGAGCTTCATGGAATGGGTTTCCATGGCTGAGCAGCTGCATACAAGCCTTACATCAGCAATACAATGCAAAGTGTCGGATGCAGTGGTGTAAAGCATGCCACCACTGGACTCTAGAGCAGTGGAAACGTATTCTCTGGAGTGATGAATCACGCTTCTCTGTCTGGCAATCCAATGGACGTGTCTGGGTTTGGGGGTTGCCAGGAGGACGGTACTTGCCTGACTGCATTGTGCAAGTGTAAAGTTTGGTGGAGGGGGGATTATGGTGTGGGGTTGTTTTTCAGGTGTTGGGCTTGGCTCATTAGTTACAGTGAAGGGGACTCTCAAGGCATCAGCATACAAGACATTTTGGACAATTTCATGCTCCCATCTTTGTGGAACAGTTTCGGGATGGCCCCTTCATGTTCCAACATGACAGTGCACCAGTGCACAAAGCAAGGTCCATAAAAACATAAATGAGTGTTTTGGGTGTAGGAACTTGACTAGCCTGCACAGAGTCCTGACATGAACCCAATAGAATACCGTTGGGATGAATTAGAGTGGTGACTGCGAGCCAGGCCTTCTCATCCAACATCAGTGCCTGACCTCTCAAATGTGCTTCTGGAAGAATGGTCAAACATTCCCATATACACACTTCTAAACCTTGTGGACAGCCTTCCCAGAAGAGTTGAAGCTGTTATAGCTGCAAATGGTGGGCCAACTCAATATCGAACCCAACGGACTAAGACTGGGATGCCATTAAAGTTCATGGGCATGTAAAGGCAGGTGTCCCAATACTTTTGGCAATATAGTGTATATACATGTGCAGGCATAGACAGGTACATGTACAGGCATAGACAGGTAACCTCCATTTGCACATTAAATGGGAAATCATCAAGATTGATACAATTGATAGACTCTTCCTATGTCCAATATATTCAAAGGGCAAACTGTAACTGTACTGAGAAAAATGTTAATTGGTCGAATGGGCAGTTGTTTACTGTCATAAGCAACAATGGTTTTAAACACTACAGCTGACCTTGGAATTTTCATCTTGTTTAACAGCAAAATGAAATGTGTATGATCAGCCAATCAGAAACCCCTCCAGGGTCAGTTGTATGGTATTTCAGGGGGAAATTTTATTTGTTAAGAAAAGGTGTTATTATGGAAGGTTCTGGAATATAGGATACATTGTTGCATGAATGCAAGCCACCTGGTGTATATTATAGATTGGACATACAGTATATGGGATGTGGAGTGTCCATATGCTTATTATGACTGGAAAACTGGGTACTCTGGAGGTTTCTGATCATTGTATTATTTTGCAAGTACAGTACTCTGTTGGACTTTGTCATCTATTGCTGAATCCTATAAATGCGACTCTCTGAAAGAGGTTCCTGCAGGAATTAATTTGTACTGGAGGAGTTTGCATTCTTTTCCTGTCGGTGCACTCCTGTTTCCACAACAATACTAACAACTATTACCCATTTTTACATATTTACATCAGGCAAAAGTTCTAATTTTTGGTTATGTTGACAGATACCTACTGTGGAGTTTTTAGTTATAGCTTAGAACTGCTAAAACAACCTTTTGCCCACTGGTAATGTTGAAATAAGGGTTTTTGGGGGAGCAGACCAATGCATGGCTAACACACCCAGTTGAGGCTCACACTACAAGAAAAAAAGCCTTTTAGTTTTCCTGACACTTTTTAAAAAAAAATGTTTTTGGGGTGCTGCTGATGCTCTGTACAAAGGTATACAAAAAAAATGTTGACCGAAAAAACACTGTCGCTGTTGGGAGTTCCAAAAATGTTTCGTTAGCAATTCCGTAACAGCATGTACAGCATTATAGGACCATCCACACAGAAAACTGTAAATTGAAGGATTTGTGTTTTCCTTATATTACTCTCAAAACCTCCTAAAATTGCCCTCCACACTGCTGAACAAATGTCCTCGCTGGACTTCTCATGCCATTTTGTTGCATTTGGCTGTTGTATGTACCTTCCAGAAGCCTGCAAAACAGAAGCATGCTTCCTAATTTACTTCAATGGGGTTCAAATTCTATGTCTTTCGAATCCCAAAGATTGTGACCTGTTCAGCCCCACTGCCTGTGAATCAAACAAAATCATATCTAAGCGGGTTCCTTTTTTACATTTTTTTTTTCTTTTTTGCTGTCCAGCCAATAAAAATTGCCTAGTGGGAGTTTTGTTGATCCAGAAGGATATACCGGTATGTTCTTACATTTATGGCATTTGTGTGCAGCCTTGAGGCCACACAGAGGCATGATCTGTGATCGGTCTGTCCTTTGGATACAGCAGATCACAGATTGGGGTACAGATAAATGGTGTGCCTACCAGACCTCACTCTGTGTTACAAATAGCATGGTACATTAGGCAGCAAATGCCACATGGACCTCCAAATGCTTGTGAATCTCAACCTTTAGTGAATTGTACTGATTAGTGTTGATTGATTAGTCATGCTTATACAGTATCTATGAGTAACGCTAGAATCACATCACATTTTTAATATAAACTTTCAATTTGTTCATTTGTAGATAAAATAGTTGATATATTTATTTTATAGCCCAGCTTTAATAACAGATGAAGTTCTCCCTGCTTGCCTACCACCTGAAAATTATGTGGTACCCGACAAGTCTGAATGTTATGTAACAGGATGGGGTGAGACACAAGGTAAAACTGATATATGATTAACATAATAAATCTTGATGCTGTCCCATTACACACATTACTGCGATTACATACTGTACATACAACATTGCAGTTTGCTCTAACATCCTACCCCATCCAGGTTAAATGATTGCATACCTAGGATTATGTCATGACAATGATTTATAATATGACTATAGAACAGTCATGTTTCTAAAACAAGAGCAGGCATAGCAGTGCATCTGCCTGGGGTTACTAAACTGTGAATCAAGGGAACTGATTATAATTAACTCCACTTTTATTGAGCAAAATCATTCCCTTGTGAGTAATGTACATTGCAGGGATTTTAACAAACTTTGTAGCAGATTTCTACTTTTTCATGTTCTGAAAAAATTGCTTTTTGTTTCACTATGTCCTTTCCAGAATGATTCCCAAACAGAGGGTTCCAGTTCAATTTACCCACTTGGTGCACTTTCGGTGTTCTGATGAATAAAGCTGTAGCACCTCTATCCCTTTAGAAGTAAATAATCCTTGGGGAGTATCTCTCCAAAAATGAAATTTCTATCGCAGGAGACACCTAAAATGTTTCTTGTATCTTAGGGCAGATGTCAGAAATCCAGTGATCCAATCACAAAGCAGGAAATTACATTTCTGTGGGCATTCTGTACACCAACAGTGTACAGAATGTCTCCAGGTTGCCCTATTGCATTTAATTTTTGACAATTTTAGAAAATTACAGCAGCTGCAGTTTCAAATGAAAAGTTTTTATTTTAATTAAAACAAACAAACACATAAAGACAGGGTGGTAAAGTAGTGAACTAAATACTAAGCTGTGAATAAAGTGAACTGACATAGCATAGAGAACAATTACATTACATCCATAAACAAATATGCCACAAACAGGAAACGTAAGTAAAGGTTTTACAAGTGTACAGTATATCATGGAGATTAGACTTAGCCATTCATTAAAATATAAGTTCACCTTACAAATAAATAAATTAATGCACATCTTTCTGCATGTTAAAAAAATTGAATGTATTTATTTGTTAGGAGTCTGTAAAGCATTGCTTGGGTGCAATGCAAGACTCCTGCAGACTGTCAGTGTAACCTGTCTGCTCCTATCTTGCACGAACAGGCATTTACACAGTGACAGGAACTATCAATGAACTACCTAGAGTGCTCACTAGTGCTCTGGTAGTTCATTGAAAACTACAAGCTGTCAGCCGCAAAAGCTGAAGGTAGTTGTAGTTTTCCCATTCACACATTTTTTTTTTAAAATAGTGACAGCTAGTGGAGGGAGAAGATCCCCGACTCGCTGTCACTAGAGGCAATGGATTGGGGAGAGGGGAGAGGACTGCAGCAGTGGGAACATGCTACATGTTCCACACTAAAAACGGGTGGCACATGGAACATGTTCCCAAAGGTAAACTTATTCTTTAATGTCAACTGGATTTCTAGGAAGAAATGATACAACCAGCAATAAGGCAAACCACTTAAGGAGAAATACATTTTTTGATCACTACTTCACACTGCCAGCTATAGATAAGGTACATACCTCTTATATTGAGTAGTTAATATAGGTAATGTGAAGAAATAGAGCTTGGGAACTGTATGGGTTAGGCATTGGCTCCATTCTTTATACGGAAGTAGAAGAAACTACTCCCGATCATTACAGATGAACCACTGGGCTTTCCCTCTGTTCCAAATTATGTTGAACTTGGCTGCACAACCACTATTAATATATGAACATTGGCATTGACATCAGCTATCCAACACTCTTATCAGGAGTATTGCAGACATCTATTGTTTGGCTATCTCCTTTTTGGCTAGGAATAATATTTCCTGGATTAAGATGATCTATTGAACTCTCTAGGTTTCCCAATATACCCAAGAGACATAATTTTGGGTCAAGAGTGGCTGGTGATCCCAGCCTACCATGTTCACATTAACCACTTGTTTCCAAAATTCAAGGATTATCAAGGACCCCAGGATACGTACCTATTGAGTTCTGAAACGTTTGGCTTAGGGGCCTACATCTGGGCATAGATTTAAAGAATATTACTGGCATCAGCTAGGTTCTAGTTAGGATGTAATATTCTCTCTCTTTTTGATAGGAAAACATTATTCTTTAAGACTGGATTCTATTGGACACTATAGCATTTAGAACCCAATGCAGTTTTATTGCATTTTGCTGCACTTGTTTTACTGAATGCGTTGCTGAAAGTTTGGATGGAAGAGGACAGCATGGCAGCCAGGCAACTCAAATGTTTAGAAGGATATCAGCAATGGTATCCATATTACTCTCAATACATTTCTTAAAGTACACCTGTCTCAGCTTTAAGCATTATTTTCTCTGAAATCACCAGAAATTCAAACCTAACCAGTCATTGCCTTAATATTGCCTACATTGTCAAATGTAAAGCAATTTTCGATGCAATGGTGTAGAATGTTGTGATCATGTTGGTCATACCATCAGGTGTTCTAGCAGCTCATGCACCCCACATATTAAACAAGGCATACCAGGATGTAGAGGTAGCGAGCATGGCAGTAGGATGTCCACCTCCAGCACCGCTGAAAGGGTGATTACCCACCACACATCTAGTCACACAATACACACCTCTACACTGATGGCCGCAATCCCTACTCGTGCAGAATGACAACAACCAGTACGTCCTCCAGATGATTATGTGCACTCCCCCACACACACACACACATTTATGGCCTCCTACATCCCTCACATATATATTGGTGGCCACAGCTTTTCCAAGCTGATGACCAAGATAACCATCTCACTTCCAAAATGATGATCCCCCATAATTTCCCCACACTAAACGCATTTGTACTAGTCTGGACTTGGCAACTAGCCCCAGAAATTACACAGCATTTAATGTATGTTTTGTTTTAAATACGCTTATTTAATACATCTAGTCAAAAAATATTCACTATTGAGCTTTTTCAGACTTTCTTTATATAGTTTTACTATTTAACAGCTGGGTGTACTTTTGTTAGTGTTACTACTGTTAGTATTAACAATGCAGTTAGTCCATTTAGTCCTTTGAGGATCAGAACAGTTCATTGTTAGTTTTTTATATTTTTGTTTTTGCTTGCTTGTCAGAACATTATTAGCTTGCTTAGCTTACTATAATGAATTAAGTCAGTCATTCTTCTCTGCATTCTGTATCACTATATGGAAGTAACTTTTTTGTGTTCCTATTCTGTGTATTTTACACTTCTTTAATTCATCCATTGATAGGGCATATAGATATCATATCTAAAGCAGAACCTCAGGCCAGGGTATTATAAGTATGGTGGTGGCATGAAACTCAAGCATATAGTGGTTTGGACCTGTATGGTTTCCATTGTTTTAGTAAGTCTGCAAGAAATGTGCTACGTGATAGCATAGCTGAACTCCAAACAACCAAATATACAGATGAAATGCATACTGTATATGGAGGGCAGTTTCACCTGCTAAAAGATTCATGTTTCTTTCAATCCAGTCCTGAGAATTATGCAGCTTCTCCAAACAGCACAGTCTTGTCTAGTAGTGCTAGAGACCTACGTTTTCTCTGCTGAAGTAAAATAGCAGTGCCCTCCCCCTGCCAGTTATTGGATCTTGAAAGGAGCACACTGATGAACTCATCTCTCTGTTGCTCAGCTCTCTTCTATCTATATGCTCCTTGCATGGCAACATGACTTAGTGGCTTCATGTGCTTCTTCTCCATCCCCCAGTCTGAACTCTGCTGTACAGGGACTGTAAAAGATTGATACCATATCAAATCCAATTACTTATATTGCTTACATTTTAAATATATATTTAATAATGTATTAATTAATAGAGATCTGCATTAATTTATGTGTTTTTAACTACCTGTAGTTTAGCTTTAATGTTTTGCTTTATAACTAACATTTTTGTAATTTATTCCAGGCACTGGTAAAGCAGGAGTGCTTAAAGAAGCTGGTTTCCCTGTCATTGAAAATAAAGTATGTAACAGTCCAGAATACCTTAATAACAGAGTGACAAGCCGGGAGCTGTGTGCTGGCAACATCCATGGAGGAATTGACAGTTGTCAGGTAAGATAATCTAACCTTTGCTTGGTTAAGGTGGCCATATTTGGATCAAAATTCGATTCAGGAGGGACCAGACAAATTTTAATCTATGTGTGACCACTGTAGTTGAACAAAAGGTAATCTATTTGGATGAAAACTGCTCAGTCAGCACTGATCTGTGTATCCTTACAGTGGTGAGTCTCCCTGCTGTCAGTATACAATTGGATCAGTCTTTTTTTATTCAGCCCACTGGGCTGAATACATGGCCAGCTTTGGATGCCTTATGATTGGTGCAATGTATTGCCTATAGAAAATGACAACTGTAATTTACCTTCCTAGAAAAATGTAAAAAAATATAAATCAAACATTTATTTCAGTCTTATGTTTACAGTGTACAGTGAAAACAATTAAACATATTACTTACAAGATTAAATAAATAAAAATCAGGAAGGTGAATATTGTTCATTTAATCCAATAAATGTCTTAAATCGTCATATGTAGTTTAAGGCTACTTTAACATGACTGCTAAAGGGGGTGCCTGACAAATGCTTTCAATGTCTGGCAAAAAAATCCAAACACTAGGTAGGAAAGGTTTACTGATCTAAAGGGTTTAGTATACACTTCCACTTAAATTTGGAATTATTTTGCATTGTGGCAATCTGAACACAAATGCCACAAGTTTGAAAAAAAAGACCATTGGAAGAATGGTACCATAGCTTTAGACCATATAATTCAATCAGTGGTCATTTGCAACCACTAGAATTATTCACATATACTTCATCATCTAACCATCAGTGGATGTGCATAAGTGATTTTCATATTTTCAACTACTGGATTTAAAACCAAGACAACTTCATACTTCCGATGTTGATCATCTCCTAACATTGCTTTTTGTAATAGTAAAGGGTAGGAAGTTGGTCTGTATCCCTCTAAACAAAGATATAGAGGAGTTCCTAATTCTTAAAAGCCCCTGGTAAACAGCAGTGAAATCCCTGCTTGGTGGGCTAAAGTTCACTTCTTGGACATAAGAGTTTTTTTGGTTTCACCCAAATGCCAGTTTTCTGTATTTTATAGTTGCAACTTTTCCTCCCTACAAAGCCAGAACAAGTGGGGAGGGGACTGGGGAAACCCCTATAAGACAAAAAAGAGAGGTCACACCTCTTCAAAAAAATAAAATAAAAATGTTACACCTAAATGTTTATTGAAAATTGGAAGTATTTCTGATTTCTTTCAGGGTGACAGTGGAGGACCTTTGTCTTGCTTTGATGGGGAAAAGTATATTTTACAAGGAGTAACCTCATGGGGTCTTGGCTGCGCTCAGCCCATGAAGCCAGGAGTATATGTAAGGGTGTCTCGCTTTATCCCATGGATTGAACAGACAATGAAAGCAAATTAATGCACCAATAGTGCTGATGTTTAATTATAAATGAACAAAAGAGACTGATAAATATGTCACAAAATAAATATGCTTTTTGTCAGTTGTAATGAATTGAATAGTAGTCTCATTACATGCATGTTGTTTTCATTATAATTTCCAAAAGTGTAACTCCAGACAAAGATAATTTTCTCCAGTTAGGGCAAAAAAAGACCAGTCCTCACTCTCTAGAATATATAAAAAAAAGCTCTTAATGCTATACTTAGCTGATCCCTGGTGCTGTCCCACTTAGAATATTCAGTCCAGCACTGCACCTCTCCAGTGTTGTTCAACTCTCTTTCTGTGGGAGCCCAGGAAGTTACAAATCCTACACTCTGGAATCAGAAGAGAATGCAACAAAGAGTGGCACCATGTCATTAAGTGACTTGCAAAGAGGTGTGCTGTCATTATGTATCAAGATTTTTTGAAGCATTAATAAGGGAAGAATTTAAACGAGGGGGCATATACACATCTTGGCATTTCGCTTTAAAGTTATGTTTTTTTCTCAAGTGTGTTGCTCACCTTAATTATTAGTGATTGCAGCTATCTTTATCTTTTATTGGGCTGTTTGCCCCCCACTTAAACCTTTTCCTCCTGTAACCTGTAAAGTGTGAAATGCAAGAAAATCAGACCATAGAAATCCCACATCAAAACATTTGGAATCAATAAGAAATATATATTTTTTTAAGTATTGATTTTTGTATCATATTGCCATTAAGTTGATTTTATAATATAGCTTGAACAGGGGCGTATCATGAAATCAGTGGGCCCGTGTGCAAGATCAAAAGTGGGCCCTAGGAACTGAAAAAAAATAATAAAAAGTGGGCTTGGTTAAAATTGTGCTAAATATTGGGAATGGATTAAAGGGGGTCTGATTATAGTCTGAGATGATTTACAGAAGATGATGTGCAGAATGAGGTAGAAATGTTAAATTGGGAATGTACAGTACAGAACGAGGAGGCAAAGATGCCGAGTGTGAACCTTCCCCCCATAGCCAAAAGGATGAATAGTGCATAGAGTCGCCGGGTTGGGCATAGTGGACCAAAATGAGAACCTTAACCTCTTCAAGCCGACGGTACACAAATATGTAGCCTCTTGGCAGCTGGGCCCTGACGCAATGCGACCGCATATTTGCGTACCATTTGTAAACAAACATGTGCTGAGAGCGCATGCCCTGCACACTCCTAGCACATGTGTTGGTGCCCCTTGGAAAGGTCCCGATCTCCCCTTGCGATTGGGACCTTTCTAAATCATGTGACTGCTGTGACAGCCAATCACAGTGGTCATATGACCCTAAACCCCGCTCCGCCTCCCGACGTCAGAAGCCCCTTAAAGGGCAGGGAGGTGCCGGCGTGAGTAAAACAATGGCAATTGCAATTTTTTGTCACACAATGTTTGCGTAACTGTTCATCAAATACGTGTTTTTAGGAAAAAAACTAATAATTCTGCTACACACAGTGCTATATACTATATAATATCCATTTCTTTGGTAGAATACAAAAGATAGGGTTGCATTGAATAAAATAGATACCAAAACAAAGGCCTTAAAATGGTGTCCATCTGAGAAATGTTGAAACATTACGGTACCCAAAAATGTCCATAAGCGTTACTTTAGGGGCTATTAGTTTGGAGTTAATCAGGAATTATGGCCAAAGAATTATTGCTCTCACTCTGACTACTGCGACAATGCCTCACATGCGTGGCACAATTGCTGTTTACATACATGTGTGCTCCCCATGTGCTGCTTGCATTTTCATATATGTTCAGAGGGCAAGGGTGCTTTAAAAAAATGTTTTTCTTTAGTCTGGAAAAGAACGATCAAACCTGACACAGGTCAGACGTAGACTTTAACAGTCCCCTGATTTTAACCTCTACTTTGCAAACTTTACCATCACCACTGGGAATGGCTTTCAAAATAGGACCAATTGGCCATACATTGCGCTTTGCTTGAGGGTCTTTCAACATCACAATCTCTTACTTGGACATTTGGTTTCTCCTCTTTCCACTTTCTTATTGTTTGTCGGAATGACAAATTTAGCTTCCAGCAATTCCAAAAGGTATCAGCAACTTGTACTTCACTAGCTGGCGCTAATACTGCACAAGTCTTCTGAGTCAAGGGCATTGCTGGTATAAGAATTTCAGGTCTCTCAGTGTCTGTTGGAATGGAATCCAATGGCCTAGCATTCATTATAGCTGCAACTTCAGTCAACAATGTAGTGAGGACTTCATGCAACAATCAAGTGTTTTTGTTTTGCAAGAAATCTTATGGATGGCATAACCCTTTGAAACAATGCCAGCCTTTACATAAATATTTTTAACTGCTGTTGGCAAAAGATTTATTGATACGAATAAGTGTTGCTATACCTCTCACAAGAGACTTCCAACTTGAGAATCTGAAAAATCTATGTGAACCTAACTGGTGTTAATACACTTTGGCTACTAAAACCTTCACTTCAGGTCTGATCTCACTGTCAGAATTTGGATCAATAAAGTCAAATACATTGGCTTCAGGTTGATTATTTGTATCTGCTTGATGTAAGAAATTTGAGCATGAGAACCATTTGGTATGTTTTAAGTGATTGGTCTGGTACTATGATCTGCTGGGTTCTGACTAGTGGTAACGTAATGCCACTGATCAGGATTAGTGGATTTTCTAATGTGGATTACGCTGTTTGAGACATACATAGGTTATATTCAGGATACGTTTAGATTATTTTATAATATTTTATAACACAATTTTGCTGTCTGTGTAATATTCAAGTGCATCAAGTCCAAAGTGCATTTCTTCAATAATCAGTTTTGCTAGCTCAACTGACAAAACAGTTGCACGTAACTCTAAATGTGGCACTGTGTGGGCTGGTCATAGCACTAGTTTAGATTTTCCAAGAATAAAGTCCACATGACATTGACCATTACTGTCTATGACCCTGAGATACACTACAGCTGCTATCAACACAGTAGAAGGATCAGAAGAAACACATACCTCTCTTCACACTGTAGATGTTAGCAACACTGGCACATAGGGTCTGGGAATACTGACATCTTCAATCATGTCTTCTGTCCATGTTCTTCACTGAGTTTTTCTATCTGGTGATATTGAAGAATCCCAGTTACATTGTTCTATTGAGAGCATTCTAACTAAGGCTTTACCTTGCATAGTGATTGGGGCTGCAAACCTAAGTGGATCGTAAGGACCATTTTCAATTGCCATGATATCTGTCCATGTGTATGGCTTTACCTCCCTGGACACTTGAAAGGTAACACTGTTGGTCTGTAGATTCCAACTTCCTCCTAAACTCCATTGAAGGGGCATAGGTTTGACACTTAAAGCAATTCCTTAACGCTTTAGCGCTTTCATCTGCAGGAAACACTTCCAGTACTGAATTTCTATTGGAAGCCACTGTCCGTCGGGCGGCGCATGCGCAGAACACCCACTCTCTCTACCCGGCGGGCGGTAGGACCTGGCCGCGCATGGCAGCGGCGGGGTTCGCGCATGCGCACTCGGGATCACGGACGCGCGCCTGGCACCAATGACAGCGGGAGGCGGGCTATTTAAACGCAGGAACAGGTATGTTAGTTGCCGTTTGGTCTTGTATCCTGTGTCCTGTATCCTGTTCCTGTGTTGCTGTATACTCCGTTGCCGACCTCTGCTTGTTCCTGATCCTGCTCTCTCCTGTTTGACCCCTGGCTTGCCTGACTACTCTTCTGTCTGATCCCTGGTACTGTATTTGCCCGCATCCTGCTGAACCTGGCTTGTGACCTGACCATTCTTAGCTCGCTCCTCTGTACCTTGCTGCCCGCATAATACCGACCGGCCTGTCTGACCACGCATACCGTATCCATCCATCCATCCATCCATCCATCCGGTTTGGGTCAGACCTGTGTATCTGTCTGCCTCTTCCAAGTAGATTCCGTTCCTGCACTCCCCTGTCAGTATTCTCTACCACCGCAGGACGCACTCGGGGGGGTCGCGACCTGGTTTCAGTCTGCACCAAGTCCATCCCCACCATCAGGGGCCCTGGTGAACAGCAGGCTGGGACTTAGACCCCGCGCCCTGGGAGCGTCCGTGCGGTGGGCTGCTAGAGACTCTGCCAGGCGGCATAACAGTACCAAACGGCCAAAAGATGACGGAACCTGGAAGAGGACCTTCCCCCCTGGAAAATATGTGCCAGCATCTGGCGGCTCTTACTCAGGCGGTAAGGGCGCTGGAGGAGGGCTATAATCACCTGGATGGTCGGATCCAGACCCTAACCACCACTATTTCGGCCCCCCAAGATCATAGTCCCTCAGCTCCGGCCAGTGGTACCACTGAAACCCTGGCCGGACCAGCAGCACCTACACCTACACTTATGCCAGAACCTCATGTTCCTGTCCCAGAACGATTCAGTGGGAATGCACCAAGTTCAGAGCATTTCGTAATGCCTGCCTGTTGTACTTTAGGCTCCAGCCACGTACGTTCGCGACAGAAACCGTGAAGGTGGGGTTTATTATTTCTTTGCTACTGGATGAACCCCAAGAATGGGCGCATCGACTATTAGAGATCCAGCAACCACCTCAGCTGGAATCTGTGGCAGCATTTTTTGAAGCGATGGGCCTCCTTTACGATGATCCCGAACGAGCAGCATCAGCTGAATCGGCCCTTCAGTCTCTCAGGCAAGGTCGTAGGCCTGCAGAGGAGTATGCGGGTGAGTTCAGGCGGTGGATGGGAGACACGCAATGGAACGACGCTGCCTTGCGCAACCAGTTCCGCATAGGCCTGTCTGAGTCCCTGAAAGACGAACTAGCCAGGGTAGGCATACCAGCCACACTAGAAAATCTCATGACCCTGGCTATTCAGATCGACCGACGCTTGCGGGAACGCAGGATGGAGAGGTCAGGCCAGGGCCTGAGGCCTGCTTGGATGTTTCCCCATGCTCCAGGACCAGTCAGTAGCACTGCTGGGAATCGCAATCCAGAACCCCTGGATACGCCGGAACCAATGC